TAATCTACTCTGAAATAAAGCTGTTTATTATTTATACTACTCTATTACTCTGCTGATTTTATCTGCTATTTGTTATATTCCATTGTACTCGTACTTAGTCATAGCTGTAAACTTAATTATATTTGTCTTGTAATTGGGATTATTCCTGTTAGACAATTTTTTTTTCAACTTCTAAATAAAGGTCCGATTCAAATAATTTAAGGAGGAAAATACATACACATAATCAATCTTGAATATGAAACTGTTTAGTTGGATTAGCATTAATATCTTGTTTTGATTCTACCCATGTTTTGATTTACTAATTTGAACAAAAGGCGATTATTGTAACTTAATTATAATGGTTAGATCAACAACATTATGGACTTTTTTGTTGGTAAATATTGCTAAAAACTTCTTGTAGTACATTGTGTCATAGCTATTTCTCCGGGGATTGATGGCCGTGTTATCAGAGATGATCAGGCAATGGAGTTGGGGTTTCTGGTTTTGTTCCATGTAATAGCTTTGACATAGTTACATCCTGTCATTAAAATGTACACATTATTTTATGTATAATTAATGTTTTCGCAGTTCATGACAAATAAAGAATTTATAGGCAAATTTTTGATATCTTGGATTAGTTATTGCAATTTTTTTACCTCAATTATTCAAAAAACGAAATACAGCTCATGTTATTTCTTGATAATGTAGTGTTCTATAAGCTAAGTAATGTTGAATACAAAAAATCAATAGTGTTCATGATAAATTTCATATCACTTTTTCAATTTTGATTTTGAATGACACATTTTTCTCTAATTGATGAAGGTGTTGTTGTTTCTAAACATTATAGTCTCATTGGTATTATATGATATAAGAATTTTTGAATTTTGTTCAATTGCTTTTCAAAGAACATTATGAATTTCAGAATTTGAAAAGTATATTTTCAACAATTGATGCTACCATGAAAGGATGCTTTTCCAAACACATTGAGCTTGTGAATTCATTGGGAACAGTAGTGCGGCTCTGTGCACTTGGAGCTACTGCCAGCAACCTCAATAAAGGTATTTATACAAAGTTTTAGAGTAAAAAAATCATTAAGGTTATTTCTGAATTCATGCAGAACATGATTTACAATTATGCCATGACCTGAAGCTGATAGTTAATTTTTCTTGCCTTTGTGTTTTCAGTGATCCAGATGGATAAAATCCTGGGGACATATTCTTGACCGTATTATATATACACTTTCCCATTTCAAAATTCAATACCATTATTAAAATATAATTTCATGTAGAATGTGCACAACCTACAAACATTGTCTCAGTTCAACAATAGGCTCCTCTGGTATCATTTAGTTGTCTGCTTGCTGTGAAAGCTACAGAGAGGGACGGAAAGCGATTTCTGATTTAGTGTTTGATGTCGAACCTAGGAGATGCGACGGAGTTTGAGTTTGATATCGATCCCATACATGACTATTCATAGGGAGAGCAAAAATCACCACCTCTTAATCAATACCATTCTTAAAAAAACAGCAATGATGGAACGGTGGAATAAATGTTGAGCACTACTTGACTATTATTTATAATGGGAACAGTCAACAGTATCAGATGTTGAACTGATTCAATGTAAAACCGTCACATGAGCATCCCTCAGAAATTGTTGAATGACGTCAACGGCTATCCAGATGTGCTTAAAAGGGTCATAACTAGTGGCGAATCATGGGTATATGGTTATGACATCGAAACCAAAGTCCAGTCATTCCAATGGAAGATCCCATGAAGGCCAAGACCAAAAAACACATGTCAATTTTGATTAAATGTCAAGGTTTTGCTCACTATTTTCTTCGATTACAGTATTGTAGTGCAGCAGGAGTTCTTGCCACATGGTTGTACGTTCCATAAGAAGTATTGAAAGTTGTATATATGAAATAGTTTGTGTTTTAACTCATCTGATAAATATGTCATTCGAGCAAGGGATTTTTCCTGATGATTTGAAGACAGCTATTGTAAAACCACTACATAAGAAAGGAAGTTGGTCGGACATTAATAATTTCAGACCAATTAGTCTTCCGACATGTATATCAAAACTATTCGAAAACGCAACGGCCACAAGACTAACATCTTTCTTCTCAAACTTTAATATGTTTTCTATTCACCAACACGCCTATTTGAAAAAGAAATCCACCGAGACAGCTCTTGTTAATTTTAGTAATGAAATTCTGGAAAATCCACAAGAAAAGTAACTCATTCTTCAAAAAGTCTGATTATCATAACTACCCGATGTGACTGAGGAATGTAGAGATGTCAACGTTTTAGATTGAGTAGATCAAAGACGAATTCGTTAGACTTTGGACTGTACAATAAACTGCTCGAGTATTTGAAAGTTCTTCCACTTCATACCTTCATAATCGAAATGAAAACTTTTTTCTGAAGTCACTGTATGTGATGGAATTGGCCGATACTTAATGAAAATCCATCACGTATTCACATACGAAGTCACTGTTTCTACTCCTTTAAAGAATACTATCTGTAGAATTTTGCTGAGAGTCTGGATAGGTTGAATCAATCAAACTGACCTTAATATCAGTCATTTTTTCTTTTCATCTATTTTCAAATCTATCCTATCTATGGTATATCATATTTGTTTTCCAGTTGTATTCTGCTTATATTTATATTTTATCTTTATTACACACTAGTGTTTGAGTTACTATAATTGTGTAGGAATGCATGAAAAATAATCAATCGAATATATCTATCTAATGTAGGCTCAACTGAAGGCACATTGAGTATTGTTCCTAGTGATGTGTTTGCTATTGGTGGTGTACTGGCCTTGGTTTTGGGTATGATGGTAATGTGCATCACCTCTCTTGTTGAGACTACCAATTTTCTTATTTTCAATGATCCTGATTTTATGGTGATGTATACTTGCGATCTGTTTGCAGCTTTTGAAGTGGATGTTGTGATTTGTATCAAGGTGGTGTTTGTATACGGCTGAGGTTGTTCGTTTTTGCAAAGTGAGAGTTTGTGTTCCTCTAATCTGACTGAGTACTACCTATCTGTTGGGCCGACGTATTGTCCTCTGCAATCTATGTAGTAATCTTTATTATAGGATACATCCTAATCTTACAAGACATAATAAGTAATTAACAATTTGAATTTTCAGTGCCAAAAATATTAATAAAATTCAAATCTATATATAGATAATAACAACAATGAGGATGAACTAAATAAAAAGATAATAATAAAAAATATACAATTCATAAGACCTAATGTTGAAAACCAATATTGATATAGTAACTATATATAATATACATATTTTCCAACTAACTAACGCTCTAGGTATTCCAATAATTTACTTTTAAACCCTCTTACAGTATTTTCCCCTTTAATGGCATTTGGTGAATTGTTAAATTCCCGTAGTCCCTTGTAGAATAAGTTTTTCGTTCCGCCACCAATGTGAGTTCTATATATATGAAAATTATTAAAAGATCTTGTCTCATGTTCATGTATTTGATTATTGAAAACCAAAAGTTCATTAAAATATGTGGGTTGGAGACTTTTGGCTATTTTAAATATAAAAACCATTGTTAGAAAGAATAATCGATTTGAAATTGACAGCCATTGTAATATATTTAACATGTGATCAATGGAAGTATAACGACTGCATCTTAATAATGCCCCTATTTTGGAGTTTTTGAAGTTGGAAAAGCCTATTTTGGTTTATTAAATGCATTAAAGTTGGACAGTACTCAAAATGAGGTTTAATTATACAATTATATGTTAATATTCTGGAGTTATATTTGGTAATGGCCGTAGCAG